GGGGCCGACCCAGTGGTGCAAGAGGAGTACTCAAAGCTCAGTACTCAATGCTCATTCCTGAAAGGTCTAGGTGACGAATGGGATGCTGGAGGTCCAAAGGTTTCATCTTGGGTTTTCTGTTTTCTTTGGGGTGGCAGAGCAAGGATTCTTGCAATCATTTCTTGTGCTGCACTCTGGCATTGCCCCTGGTAGTGCTTGTGGACCATATGGGATGTTGGGGACCGCCAGTCCTACATGCTGTCCCTGAAGTAGCTGTCCTATTACGCCAAACTGCTGCTTCGGCTTCTTTTGCATCGTTCTTCTCATCAGCTGTCCTCTTGACTCTGTGCTCTGGATTCACAACTGACTGGCGTCAGAGCACCCTGGGGTGTGTTGGCCCCATTTGCGCCCTGGCAACTACAGTGACTTGGGCCTCCAGACTTGCTTTTCTCCTGTTTTGTCCTTCCTGCGTTGGAGAGACTACCTGCTCGGTCATATAGGCTTAAGTTCACATAATCTTGTGTGTGGATTTCTGGGCATGTGCTGATCCCAAGGAGAAAGCCAAGGATCTCTGCGGCCAGTAGAGATGTTGGGGTCAAGAAACTTCTAACTTCTTTGAGCGGGATGTGGGGTGGTCCAGTGCAGTGAGTTCCTACAGGCAGACATGCCATGCACTGTTCTGAGTAGTTGTCTATATGGACTCTCGAGTTCTCAATCCTAGTGGTCATGTGCTGTGGGGGTGCAGCGGTGAGCATGCAGTAGTTTTTGCTACACCCAGGGATAGCCTTTTGGATCGTACAAGTCTGTGTTCAGGTGATCCTCTCTACAGTGCTCACTGGAACAGTGGTGCTCGAATTCGCCGGGGGGTTACCAGGAAAGGCAGATACATCCAAGAACCTTCTGTATCACGTCGTCCCACTTTAGCAGATCCAGTTGCCTTATGTGATTTTTGGGGCCCATCAGTCATGCGTGAGCATGGAGGCTGGTTTATTCGGAATGGAGAGGCCCCGCGACAATATAGGACCCTGGGACCTGGCCTCAGAGTAGTGTGAATGAGGCTAAGATAGATTGTGACTCCCACCCTCTTCGTGTGCTGACTCAGGACACAGTGACCTTCCATGACGTGGCTGTGAACTTCACCCCAGAGGAATGGTTATGCCTGGAGGCCTCTCAGCGGAAGCTCTACAGGGACGTGATGCTGGAGACCTACCAGAATCTGCAGGCTGTCGGTGAGAGCAGTGTGGAGCCAACCATGTCTGAACAGACCTGCGTTGGCTCACTGGGGTTGGGCGGAAGCTGTGTGTCCAACAGTAGCTCTGTGACGGGCGTGCAGTAGCTCTTCCCTCCCTCGTGTTTTTTAGGGTTCAACTGTGGATACTCAGGGCTTACTCTCAGCTTTGTCTTCAGGAATTACTCTTGTGGGGTAGCCGGACCCTATGGGGTGATTCAGATCAACGCGTTTCAACTGTGTCCATGGGAAGATCCCTCTCTGCCCAGTTATCACCCAGGTCCCTTTAAATAGTTCCATCCATTGGTGAATCAATTCACTTTGTGTACTACACGAAATTTTGTGTGTTTAATTGGTTTTGCTGTTGCCTTTGTTTGGGGGGCACAGTCCACAGTTCTCTTGGCTCTGTGCTAAAGGATGACGACTACGAGTGTTCAGGGGCCATATGGAACCGTATATTTAAACCTCTTGGCAAGGTAAACTGTCGCTGCCTCACCCCCAGTACTTTTGCATCAGTCACTCAAGTCAGACGGTTTTTGCATTTTCTTTTTTCCTTAGGGATTAGGAATTATTCCTGCCTGTGTATTCAGGGTCCACACCTGGCCTTGCTCCAAGACCATATGGGCTGCCTGGGATCAAACCCACATGTATGTGCAGCACTTCTGTCTTATCTGCTGTACTATCTCTTTCCCACCACAGGGGATTTGATATTTCATCTCTCAACTCATTAGACGCTGCCCTATTTCAGTGCTTTGATTTACTTCTAATGGTTCTTGTGAGACTTCAGCAGGACTTAGGGGTTTGCTTCTGGACTCTGCACTCAGGGATCGCTCCTGGCTGGCATGAGGGACCCTAGGAGATATCGGGTATCACAACTGGATTGTCCGTGAGAAACTCCTGCTGTGCTCTCTTTCTGGATACATTTTTAGCTTAAAAAATAAGGGTATCTTGTCACCCTTGGCCATTTCCAGATTTATTATGCACTTAGTTTTACTGAAGTCCGTGAAAAGTTCATGAGGGGCTGAGGAAACTCCATGTGCTTCTGAACCTAGAGAGATAGTACAGGGATGAAAGTGATTTTCTTGCAAGCGGTGCATGTGGGTTAAATTCCCGGCAACCCATGTCATACCCGAGCACCAGCAGTAGTGATTTCTGAATACAAAGTCAGGAGTCTCCCCTGATCATTGCCAGGTGAGACCCAAAACAAGACAAAAAACAAAAACATACTGTGCTAATCAACCCCCTATCTGCCACACACAAGGCCAGGTCTAGAGTATTTGTGATATTTTCTTGGGTCTTACCTCTCGAATAACTAGAAATATGTGGAATTTTGGAAATGGACATTCTGTTCATGATTTTCAGATAAATGCCCACTTATATCAAGAAAACATGGGCATTTACCTGTCACCCTTTCCCTGTGACTTATCCATGCCTCTGTCTCTGTTGCGACAGGGCACACTGGAATGAAACCTGCAGTGATCTCCTGGCTTGAAGGAGGAGTTTTGAGGTCGGGTAGGAGAGGCGTGTGTGCGGGTGAGTGTCTGAGGACCCTTCCTGGATCAGGCCCTGTGCAGTGTATGGGTGCCCTGAGCATGTGTGAAACATGCTGCTGAGGCCGGGGCCTTGGTGTCCTGTATCCTTGGGTCTGTGCCGCACTCAAGCTGCTCTTCATTTACTTGGATTGTCAATCACAGAATGATCCTGTAATTTGCTTCCATGGCTTTCCAATAAATAAGACCATAACATTGATAGTTTGGATCTAAACGATAGTACAGCAGGGAGCGCCTTGCAGTGCCTGAATGTGACCTGTTCAATAATCTGTTCAATAACCTGGTTCCCCGAACATCACCAGGTCTGCTCAAAAACAAAAACATAACCTAGTGTAGAATTGCCAAGATCCTCAAAGTTTTCCACTATCCGAATCTTTTGTTTAGTGTGGGACTCTTTGGACTTTGAGAACCACAGAGATGTACTCTTAACTACATGGCATCATTTTGCTACATATTGTGACATGTGTGACATGTGTGAATTGCATGTTCTCTTCAGTTTCAGAACTGAAACCGCGACTTCAGAATTTGGTATTACAGCACTTTGATTTGGAAATGGGGTCAGCAAGTACGAGTGAGTTGGTAAGATTCACGAATACAGAATAAATATTATGCCAGCAGGAGTGGACCAAGTATGTGATTGTAAAGGTGGAGGGCTGGGATTGGCAGGGATAAATTCCAAAACCTGATGCTTGGAGTAGAGGACTCTTAGCTTTGCTAGGTGCTGACATCAACCGTGTATAAAAATACTGTGAGTTTTTGATTGGCTTGACAGTGGTAGTTGTTTAGAAAGCTAATTTGTGCGCCCTAGAGATGGTGCAGTGAGAAATATACTTGTTTTGCATAGGGATGGATGGTCCTTACCCAGCACGCCTTATAGACAGCATAGACCCACAGAACTGATCCGAGACACTGCATGGTGTTCTCCTCCACCCACCCAACCTCCAATGAATAGACACTACAAAACAGAAAGAAAAATAACTTTATTGATCCTGAAAGGAATCACTTGTGGTGAGAGCATTGCAATGGCCACGTGATCTGTCTCAGCTGCGTTACGATGCAGCGTAGTCTTCACCCCTGCATCACAGGTTCCACACAGAACTTTAACCAAATCCACATGTGAATCTATTTCATTTTCTCTTGAAATGGATGTGTCCGTTTTCTATAGAAGGAATTATTTCTAGTTGTATTCCTTCATTAAATTAAAAAGGGGGAAAGTCCCAGAATTTACTCTCTATCCATCAATGTTGTGCGTCCAACTTACGGTAACATGAAGTTATTCAATAGTAAGAAAATTCATATGTCAGTAATTGCATTTTTGTGGTGCATATGTGTGGAACTACATCTGAAGGGCTCAGTTTTTTGACAGGAAGACTCAGTGTATAAGTCAATAATTAGAATCCTCTGTTGTTCTGCAGGAAAGCTGCCACCCCGAGTGGAATGTCTCTGATCCTGCACTGTATGATAATGTCTCAACTGATCAATCCTGCCCTCAGCCCCATGAGGACGATGAGACAGGCGGGATTTCTTCTGAGGGTGATCAGAATGGTGAGAGCTACCTCACTCTGAAGAAGCCCTCTCCTGGAGAAAGTTCCTTGGAGTGTGTTATTCTCAGTTCACAGACACAAAATTCCCCAATGGGGTACCTGCTAGGGAGAGAAGCACTGTTTATAGTTAGTCCCTCACAGCAACATACCCTCAACCACAGTCACCGTGAGCAGAACCCATATAGGTGTAAGGAATGTGGAGGAGCCTCCCCATGTTCTCAGTACTGTGGTGTACCCTTAGAAAACCATAGTGGACAGAATCCCCAGAAATGTCAGCCCCAAGAACAAAGTGTGAGTCAAGGGTTACTCCATCATGACCATATGAATATAAATTCAGGAGCGAAACCTTTTGCATGTGAAACATGTGGGAAGGCCTTTGATCAATCATCACATCTTATGCATAGGAGAATTCATACAGGAGAGAAACCTCATGAATGTCAGACATGTGGGAAGGCCTTCATTCAGACCTCTAGTTTTAATGGACCTATGAAAACTCATAGTGCAGAGAAGCCTTCTATATGTCAGGAGTGTGCTAATGCCTTTACTCGATCCTCAGGCCTCAGTATACATAGAAGTATTCACACTGGAGAGAAACCGTATATATGTAAGGAATGTGGGAAGGCCTTTGCGAAAGCCTCAAGTCTTAGTGTACATAGGAGAATTCACACTGGAGAGAAACAATATATATGTAAGGAATGTGGGAAAGCCTTTGCGAAAGCCTCAAATCTTAGTGTACATAGGAGAATTCACACAGGAGAGAAACCGTATAAATGTAAGGAATGTGGGAAGGCCTTTGCTCAATCCTCAAGCCTTGGTGTACATAGGAGAATTCACACTGGAGAGAAACCGTATACATGTAAGGAATGTGGGAAGGCCTTTGCTGGAGCCTCAGGACTTATTGCACATAGGAGAATTCACACTGGAGTGAAACCATATATGTGTAAGGAATGTGGAAAGGCCTTTGCTTTGGCCTCAAGACTTAGTGAACATTGGAAAATCCACACTGGAGAGAGACCCTATGTTTGTAAGGAATGTGGAAAGGTCTTTATTTTGGCCTCAAAACTTAGTGTACATAGGAGAATTCACACTGGAGAGAAACTGTATATATGTAAGGAATGTGGGAAGTCCTTTGCTGAATCCTCAAAGCTTAGTGTACATAGGAGAATTCACACTGGAGAGAAACCGTATATATGTAAGGAATGTGGGAAGTCCTTTGCTGAATCCTCAAAGCTTAGTGTACATAGGAGAATTCACACTGGAGAGAAACCGTATATATGTAAGGAATGTGGGAAGTCCTTTGCTGAATCCTCAAAGCTTAGTGTACATAGGAGAATTCACACTGGAGAGAAACCGTATATATGTAAGGAATGTGGGAAGTCCTTTGCTGAAGCCTCAAGCCTTCGTGTACATAGGAGAATTCACACTGGAGAGAAACCGTATATATGTAAGGAATGTGGGAAGGCCTTTGCTGGAGCTTCAAAACTTACTGTACATAGGAGAATTCACACTGGAGAGAAACCGTATATATGTAAGGAATGTGGAAAGGCCTTTGCTACAGCCTCAAGCCTTAATGTACATAGGAGAATTCACACTGGAGAGAAACCGTATATATGTAATGAATGTGGAAAGGCCTTTGCTTTGGCCTCAAGACTTAGTGAACATTGGAAAATTCACACTGGAGAGAGACCCTATGTTTGTAAGGAATGTGGAAAGGCCTTTATTTTGGCCTCAAGACTTAGTGTACATAGGAGAATTCACACTGGAGAGAAACCGTATATATGTAAGGAATGTGGGAAGTCCTTTGCTGATGCCTCAAGCCTTAGTGTACATAGGAGAATTCACACTGGAGAGAAACCGTATATATGTAAGGAATGTGGGAAGGCCTTTGCTAAATCCTCAAGCCTTACTATACATAGGAGAATTCACACTGGAGAGAAACCGTATATATGTAAGGAATGTGGGAAGTCCTTTGCTGATGCCTCAAGCCTTAGTGTACATAGGAGAATTCACACTGGAGAGAAACCGTATATATGTAAGGAATGTGGGAAGGCCTTTGCTAAATCCTCAAACCTTACTATACATAGGAGAATTCACACTGGAGAGAAACCGTATATATGTAAGGAATGTGGAAAGGCCTTTGCTGGAGCCTCAAGACTTAGTGTACATAGGAGAATTCACACTGGAGATAAACCATAATATATGTAAGGAATGTTGGCGTGGATGTGGCGAGAAAGGGACACTCCTTCACTGTTGGTGGGAATGTCCACTGGTCAGCCCTTCTGGACAACAGTATGGACGATTCTCAAAAAATTAGAAATTGAGCTCCCATTTGACCCAGCAATACCACTCCTGGGAATATATCCCAGAGAAGCAAAAATGTATAGTCGAAGTGACATCTGCACTTGTTTGTTCATTGCAGCACTCTTTACAATAGCCAGAAACTGGAAGAAACCTGAATGCCCAAGAACAGATGACTGGTTAAAGAAACTTTGGTACATCTACACAATGGAGTACTATGTAGCTGTTAGAAAAGATGAAGTCATGAAATTTACATACAAGTGGTACAATATGGAAAGTATCATGCTAAGCGAAATGAGTCAGAAAGAGAGGGATAGACATAGAAAGATTGCATTCATCTGGGGGATATAAAGTAACAAAGTATGAGATTAATACCCAAGAATAGCTGAGATCAGCACCAGGAGGATTACTCCATAACTTAGAGGCCAGCCGGGTATCCTAGAGGAAAGGGCAGTTCAGATAGAGAAGGGAGCACCAAATAAAGGATGTTTGGAGGATCCTCCCAGGAGGGGAGATGCATGTTGAAAGTAGACTATGGACTGAACATGTTTGCCACTCAATGCCTCTTTTGCAGACCACAACACCCAAACGGAGAGAGAGAACACAGGGGATTGTCCTGCCACAGAGGCAGGGGGGGATGGGGGGATGGGGGTGGGAGGGATATTATCCATGGTGGTGAAAAACGGGCACTGGTGGAGGGATGGGTATCTGATCATTGTATAATTGAAACCCAAGCACAAAAAAAATTGTAAATCTACAACTGTAAAAAAATAAAAAATAAAAAAAGAATAAGCCCTGAGCACAGCCAGCTGTGGATCCCCCCAAAAATTTAAGTAAAATAAAATAAAAATAGAATCTGAAAAAAAAAAGGAATGTGGAAAGTCCTTTGCTGAAGCCTCATACCTTTGTGTACATAGGAGAATTCACACTGGAGAGAAACCATATATATGTAAGGAATGCGGAAAGGCCTTTACTTCATCCTCACAATTGACTATACATAGGAGAATTCACAGTGGAGAGAAACCGTATATATGTAAGGAATGTGGGAAGTACTTTGCGGAAGCTTGCTGATTTTTACCCGGGCTGCACCTATGCCAGTATTCTTGTGCTTGGAACTGCTTGTGTGTTAACTTGTAAATAATGGGTCATGGTGATGAAAATAAGGAGGAAGATGACTGAATAAACTGAATAAACACCCTCCTGCTCAGAGCTGTAATGGCTCACTACTCTGTTGTTGTTTGCTATGCTTCTGGCTTGGCCCAGTGGGGCTGGTTAGCGGGAATTATGGCAGAAATCAACCAAGATGCAGCATTGAATACTTTGAAAATGGAAAAATAGGTAATCCTTCATTCTTCCGTGTTTCCTGTGTTAGGATTTGGGATGCTTGAGCACCCTGGTTTGGCCACTTGAGCGCCAGGTCAAGCCAGCTTGTATGGTGCATTCACGCTTGTTTGTTACTTGTTCTGGATATCCAGGCTTTAGTGGATGTGGAGCTTTTGAGGGGTGCATTGGGTGCTGTTCTGTCACTCAGGTGTCATGGGTGAAGGTGCGTTATCCTGAGTGCCCCTGCAGCCACCATCGATCCAGGTCCAAGACGGCACTGGAGGTTGGGCACATGGACTTCAGGCCTTGGTGTGAGGAGCTTGCAAAGAGTGGAGGTGTTGGTCATCTCATTCCTCCCTACTGGAGACTGTGAAGGACCCTGTTTTGAGCCTTTGGACTGGACCTAACACTTATCGAAACTCCAGATATGTTCACAGGCAGCCCCCAAAGGAAAGGGACACTTTTGCCGTCAGTCATTTTCATTGGCTTCAGTGCTGGGTTTGGCACTTTGGGTTTTGTTTAGACAAATGAGAGGTATATGCCTTGAAAATTTACTCTTTGGATTATATATATTTTTTTGTTTTTTGTGTCACACTCAGCGTTTCACATGGGTTTCTCCTGACTTATGCACTCAGGAATTACTCCTGGTAAAGCTCAGGGGACCATATTGTTTCTGGGATTCGAACCCGGGTTGGTCACGTGCAAGTCAAACCTCTTACCCGCTCTGCTATCACTTCAGCCCCTCTTTGGATTAATTTTAATAGCTGCTTTTATTCAAGGCAGTTGGAAGGGATTCTTTGATGCACAAGGTTTACTTCTGGTTGTGCATATCAGGAATTATTCTGTGGTGCTGCTGGGTACCTATCGGATGGGGAGGCTAGCATCCTAGTAGCTTCACAGTGATTCCAACCCCACTATTGGTGTTTTTTTTTCCATATATAGAATTTCTACAACCTGGGATTATGGTACCGCCAGCAGGTCAATATGTGCCTGTAAGGCGACTGAATCAGCAGCCTGATGGCACCATCAGACTTCCAGATACTCCAAAATTGATGCTGTGCCTTTGGCCAGACTCCAAAAACTTTGGGCAAAGTCTTCCAAGAAAGTAAACAGCCAATGTTAGGTATGTGCAAGACACACCAACAAACCATTTCCTGCTCAGCTATATAATTGGAGGCAAGGTCTCTCTGGTTCCTGATCAAACCTCTTAAAGGCTATGATCCCAGAGACTCAGAGATAAATCTCGGAACCCAGCGGCTTTTTGCAGAGATGTGCCCGATACCCACAATGAGCTACCGGCGACAGACCACCACAAGGGGGAAAGGGGGTGTGTCTCCACCTGATCCCACTTGGTGGCTCAGTGGCCACCATCTTCCAGAGGCCATTGGACAGACAGGTTTGGGCCTGCAGTGACAAGACATGCAAGGCCTCATGGGATTGGGCTGGACTCTGCACTTTCCTCCCCACCTCAATGAGACCCCGAGTCACTGCCCATGTACGAACTCTCTGGCTGATCCCAGAATCTCAGAAACTAATTTTGGAACCCAGTGGCTTTCAGAAGAAATCTGTTCTGTCCCCACAGTAGGTTACCTAAGCTGGGTATTTCAGGTGGGAATAGGTTTTGTGCCTGGCGGCTCAGTGGCCGCCATATATTAGGGTTCTGGACGGTTAGGTTTGGGACTGCAGTGAGGAGACATGCAGGGCCTAATGGGATGGTGGTGGAGCTGGCCCTTTTCCCCCTGCCCCAACGAGACCCCGAGTTGTCTGGCGCCTACGATTGACCTCTATGGCTCGTGATCAAGGTGAGTAATGGACATGATCCCAGAGATTCAGAGACAAATCTCGAAACCCAGTGCCTTTTAGCAGAAAAGCATCTGGACCCTGCAGTAGGTTACTGTCCCAGGTCCACCCCAGGGGGAATTGGTGCTGTCCCGCCAACTGCTCCTCCTTGGCGGCTCGGTGGCCTCCATCCACCAAAGGCCTTTGGAAAGTCAGGTTTGTGCCCACACTCAGGAAGATACGTGGGGCCTCGCAGGATGGGTGTGGAGCTGGCCAATTCCTCCTCACCCCAACAAGAGCCTAAGTCATTCCCACGAACCGCCTCTCTGGCTCGTGATTAAGCTGTTTAATGGCCATAATCCCAGAGACTCAGGAACAAATCTCGGAACCCAGCAGGTTTTTGCAGAAATTCCTCCAGATTTAGTTGTTAAAATTTCAGAATTCCAAAATCATATGTTATTTATAACCAGCAAATAAAAAAGAATTGTCTACTGTTGCGTTTTCACCAGATCTAACTGCCGGAGTAAAATGCCAAATAATAATGGTGGGTCTTGTGTCAAAATATTGAATGTAATCAAAGTAGAGAAAAGAATTGGAAATTATCTGCCCCACAGGTAGAGGAAGGCTGTGGAATGGCGTTATACTTGGGTTTTTAGTGATGGAAAATGGGCATGGTGAAGGGATGGGTGTTTCATTGTATGACTGAGACTTAAACCTGAAAGCTTTCTAAGGGCTCTTCCATTTTCCCCCGTTTTCTCTCATTTATTTAGAAATGGCCAGAATAATAGTAGAGCAAGTAGGATGCTACCTTGCATGTGGCCAACCCAGGAGTCTTCCAGTCCACAACGTCTTTTCATTGCTTATTGGACATTCAGCGTCCCCTTCTCATTCCTAGAACATGTAATGTGGGGGTGTGGCATGGGGTAGGGGTGTCTTCTCCCCAGAGCTGTTCATTACGGAGAGATCCAGTGCTTTGCTTTCTTGACTTTGTTGTGATTCTTCCCTATCTGTCAGGTATGTCAAGTAGTCCATGTGTTTCAAGGCTCTTGTTTTCCCAGTTGTATAACTGGCCAGATTGTACAACTAATGGGTCGGGTACCCTTTCTGGACCCTGCTCAGTCAATCTGACACCATGCATATATTTGCCTTTGGATCATTGTCATGTTTTTTTGAAAATGGGAAGAAATTGAGTTTTCTTTTGTTATGGGGCCTGGGGATGCTCAACAGTTATTTCTGGTGGTTCTCATAAGTTGCTTTTAGCAGTGTATAAGGATCAAACCCTGTCAGCCTCATGGTAGGCAAATGCCTACCTACTGTACACTTGTAAGCGCTAAAAAATGTTTTATTGTGTGTATGTTAAATTGTGACTGTGAGCCCATAGTGAAGTTAATTAGGACCAGAACAGCAGTGCATCACAGAGGGTGCTTGCCTTACAGATGCCGCCTACCTTCGATGTCCAGCATCCCCTTTGGTATCCCAAGCATCACTGGGTCTGATTAAAAACAAAACCCAAAAGGATTTTTTGGGGGATTGCCGAGCTCCTCCCAGCAACACTTCCCGCAGATTTTCCCTTTCTGTAGGCTTGCTTGGACTGTGAGAACTATGGAGATGTCCTCCACCTGTTTGGTCATTCAGCTGCATTCCATTCAACATTGGACTAATTCTCATTGTGCATTTTGTGTGATTTCAGAACTTAAATCACAGGTTTAGGATGTGACATTACAGCAGTTTCTTTAGGGAACAGGGGTATTGCATACAAGTGTGCTGTAAGAGTC